AATATCCTTTTGTCCTTTAAAGATTTAGTTAATATGTAAGTATATAATTTCGAATACTTTTTTTTTAGAAATAATACACCCGAATTCTTTTGAAATCTATTTTAATCCATTTTTATGAGATTATATCATAAGAAAAAATACAGTTATGATTACAATTATTCAAGATTCCTTCGACTTTATGTGTATTCAGATTTTGCTAATTACTGTTAACAATTTACATATAACAATTTACATTGAAACATGTTCAAGTCTAGAAAATTGTGGCTTTTTGACATACATTTATAAGTAAAAATTATATTTTAATATTTATTTTGCAACACAACCTTAAATTCTATGAATTATTGAATTGATTTCGAAAAGTAACAATCATTGAAGTACCAATTTAACGCCCTAATTATAAAAAAATTGAAAGGAGTATGATAATTTAATGTTGGTTAAAGACTGAGTCAGGTCTAACTGTGCTAGATTTTGCGGGAGAATTCCGTCATGACTGTTGTAGTTATTCATTGTGAAAATTGAGTCCCGCTAAAAGTAATCCGTCCACCGTGTGCCGTATTACTTGAGAAATAATTCTTTAAGCACTATTTCGTGTCCATATGAAGTAAGTAGTATGTGGATCGAGAAAAAATGTAAATTAAATTTGAAATATTCTCCGCAGACTTTTTGCAATATGACTGTATTATGACGAGCTGTAATTTTTTTTATATAAAGCTTTTTACAGAGTTGGTATTAGTTATTGACCATTATTTTATATATATGATAGATAGTGTTTAACCGTTACGTTATTACAACAGAAATAGACACACTATTGTGTTTCACACAAATCTGTACTTAATTTTTGGTGTAAGTATATATTCTTTTATGTTTGAGGGACAGATGCAAAGTTACTATCAAATAAGTATAATCTGTACTACAAGAACTCTTTGGCAACAAAAATAAACTTTGGATTAGAATACGACTAGGAAGTGACATTTATAATAGCTTTCAAAACGTCAACTATACAATATACATGTAATTGTATATTTTTAGCATATTAACGTATTAAGATTAGCAGTATATTTACATCATAGTACACGTTGCACGTAGAATGTAAAAGGCAACAATTTTGTGATTTTACAATAACAAATTTCTAGACATTTATATGCTTTACTTAGCTTAACATTATCAATAAATTTGAAGTACAATTAACTTGAAGTAAATGAGAACTACTCCTCAATTTAACTAATTATCAGCAACAGAGAATATTGGAAATTTTTAAAAAGAAGTACGTATCGTTTACACTTTTTAACTTAATTATAATACATACATATTAAGTCAAGATAAATATAATACAATGATATAATAAAAGGAAACATAATTATTATAATATTTTAAACAAAGGGCTCACGTAAGCGTTTATGTAAAGTGACATAATTAATGCCAATCATTTGATTTTTTAATAGACAAGGAACATGAAAAGTTCAATGAAAACTTTCTGGACTACAACAGATAGAAATTTATTTTCCTCATTCTAAAACCTCGTTGTGAAAACATCATAATAACTGTAGTTGGCAATAGGATTGGTGATAATAGCACCTTTGACATTGCTTCCTATGGTCTAATTGGTTATTATTCTCTCGTTTTTAGCTCTAACATCCACGGGATTAATTGGGGCGATACTACACCCACAAACTGACGTTGCGTGTAAGTATTTTAAATTAACATCTAACACGATCTAAATTTAATAGTAACTACTACTACTCAATATAAAATATTCACATAGTGTAAGCCAATACCAGGCGTCCATCGTGGTGGATTTAAATGACGAATATTTGCGTATCATGTGTTGCGATTACCAATTGTCTAATCAACTGGTAGGATAAGTAGATCTTTATGTAAGAAAGTCTTAACGTTTTGTTCTGAACTTAGCAGTCCTCAGCAATTTTACTACTTAAACTTTAGAAAAAAGCTCTCTCTCCTCCTTTTGAAAATGCAATAATTCCTAAGGTGTTACAGATATCAATAGATGACCATCATTATTTGATATGAAGTGAGTCGCATGCCCGTTCGCCCCCTATTCTACAAAAATGGTTTTTGTTTAATAGGAATTACAAAAAGCCTCAACATATTTTTATTTTCAACCGATTTAAAAAAAGAGGTACTCAATTCGACTGTATGCTTTTTTATGTGTGTCACATCATGAATTTTTTTTCGGTGAACCGCTTCAAGTCAAGGTTTTTGATGTAGTCCCACATAAATTTTCCTGTGGTATGACTAGTAGTTTTTAAGTTATCCTTAATAATTAATACTGAATTCGTTTGTACAAAATTTTTTAACACTTGTTTTACAAATTCAATTTTAATTTAAATTCAAACAATTCTAATACATAACACAAAAGATATGAGAATATTTATTTACAATAATAGTTATTAAAACAATACAATATACTAAATGTAGCTAATATCTGAGGCATTTATATACAATGGTCTTAAACAATTCAAATAAATAAAAATAGTCAAGAAAACAATAACCGAATCAAGGCTGGAAACACAGACAAAAGAGAAAAGATGGTTAGTATTTATTCATTAAAGGATTATTTTTATATAGTAATATAATTTAAATTGTGACAACCTCTATGTTCTATTATTAATATTTATTTACTGCATATAAAAATTAATAGAATTAGTATTCTATATACATAATAAAATCAAACCAATTGCCTAGATAAACTACTTCCATTTACTTCAAAGCAATGATAAGAAACTACACCAAAGAAAAGATACTTTATAATATCAATAAGACATCGAATCCAAACATGAAATTATTATTTTCTCCAAGCGTAGTTTCCCCACACAGTGTCTGCTGTATTTATACTAATTTTTTATTATGTGCCTTAAATATATAAAGTGTTAACTACTTTATAATTTTATCTTATATTACATAACATATTATTACACACATTAGATATGCATTATGAAATGTATCATTTATTTAACAAAAACAAATTATTTACAACATTTTCAGCTGAGCTAATCACATATTAAAAGATAATTTCTTTCATTAACTTGGTTATGGAGTTGTATTATCTTTTTTCTCAAAATGGTAACTTATTTTGCACCTAAAGTTTAATAGTTAGGAAAACATGCTGACCGCAAACGCGTAAGTTCAATTACGTCAATTTGTTTCTATTTTAATTATATTTCATTCTATTTAAAGTGGTTAATGTAAATTCAAAGAATTTTAAAGACAGTAATAGATATTAATATAGCAGTCTTTTTTCTAGAAGAATATAATATTCATTAAAAGAATCAGTACAGGTGTTTCCTAACTAACGAACGAGAATATAGCGAACGACATATTTATTCGATACTTTTATTACGAACGATAATTGTTATCGTTCATCTCCTCCGTTTACTTTTCTTTGTCGCACGGCGTGCTGTTTTGAAATAATTGTATATGTATAAGCAAATATTGTCTAATATTCATGCAATAGCCGAATTTCTGGTCTGCACAATTAGTTGTGATGTCACAAGCTCGTGAAATTTATTTTCATCGACTATTAATCGCTCTCCACTCTCATCAATCAGCAGGGTGCGCCGATTGCAAGTGGGATTAGCTTTTTGGGAACAAGGTTGCATAAAATCACATTTATACATTATGATTATCATTAAGATAAAAAATATTTAATATTTAATTTAAAACATGAAATTTAACTTAACTTTCATTGGATAAACACTCTTTCTATTTACTATTATCACATATATTATAATAGTATAATGTAATACTAAAATACTTTATTACTATATATTTAAATTTTCAGCACAATTATACACCACTTAAAATTGTCTGTTGAAAGTGATATTAAAGTAAGAGACTTAAGACGTCCTACTACTGGGCACAGGCTTTCTCCTGGAGAGTTTATTGCAAAGAAAGTCACTACAATACTTATTACTCGTATTAGCGGATATCCCATGATCTCGAAATATTTTAGTTTCTCAGATATGCGGATATTCATGCGTTTTACTTTTAGCCAGTGTAATCAGTTCTTAAAATTGTGATGAATCATTGATGTAGAAGCGGATGAATAGTCATTTTTAAGCGGTAGGACTTCTTTTCTGCTTAAAAATCTGTCTGAATAGGTACCACCCTTTTGTTTGCTTCTATCACCAAGTAACAACACGGTTATGTTCCAGGATAAAGGTATTGATAGAACTTCAGTATAACTACAGGCTATGGGTCTTTGTTTGAAGTTGATTCCATATGTGCATGAGCTACAGAAGTCACTTACCATCTGTTTCTTTCTGTTAGTGTAGACTGTAAGATTGTATGTTACTTCAATTTAAAAAAAAAACGTGTTGTGAAAAGCTAATACAGCAACTCAGCTCGGAAATTAACCATAATACACTTCAGAAAAAACTATTTAGATTCACTTTTTGATTCTCTTTCCCTCGTTACGTGCAAAGTTCATCTAAATTATAACTTAAGATAACTTCGGAGTAAAGAACTAACAGAAAATTAGATTTATACCTTAATGCCAAAGTATTTGCTAAGTTTACTTCTACATTCAACAAATTAGCCAGATAGCTTGTCTTAAAACCTCAAATACATTAAATTAATCAATGTTTATTGTTATATACATTTTTGTTATACATATTACTAATAAATCCGTAATATTTTAATTTTGCTTACCTATTACTGTCTATAGATACCAGTAGCTATGTGTAATATGTACAATATTGTACTTGTAGTAACGCTATACTTATTCTTACTTTTATTTTTATGCGAAACAAATTAAAACATACATTTATTGATAATGAAAGATATCGATCATATACGTATCTATATAATATTATCAATTATTATTTTCGTTTGAATTGATTCTTGTTTTTATTTTGTATATTTATTATTAAATCACATTTATAATTACAACATTCAAGGGCCATAACTCATCTTCAATAATCCTTAACTTCTAATTAGATCACAGAATCTAGGTCTTCGGTATTGACCTTAGGCATTGACAATCATAGAAAACTCTCAGAAGCTCGTATCTCGTCTCTATCTACAGTTGAAACTATTTCTACACCTTCATCGTAATTCTGTAATTTAGACGTATTATTTACACAGTAGTGTTGATCGGGATCTCCATACTGACTATGGTAAAATTCTTCTCGCATCATATGGTTCAAATTTGAACACCTAAAGAACAAAATTTCTTGAAAAGGTTTTCTAAAATCTCTATTTAATGTCGCATAAATAATTGGATTAAGTAAACTATTCACATAGCCCAACCAAAGAAATAAAGCACTAACAGCATCCGGTATTGTATCTTCGTTAACAAATGGTCTTATTAGAGCTAATACGAAGAATGGCAACCAGCAAATTATAAATGCTGACATTATTATTCCTAGTGTGGTTGAAGCTTTACGTTCCTTTGCTAGTTGAAACCTTAACTTTTTCTGATGCGGTGAATGTGACTGGTGAAGTAAATCCTTAGCTAAATGGCTTTTGTTTGCAAAGTTTGACAAAGATGAACTAATCCTGCTGGACGTCAACTTGTGATTACTTCCTGATTCCCTTTGCCTGTTTTCTTTACTTAGGTGCATATTATCTCGCATTTGTTCTACTTTTGATGAAGGTTGGTTAATGGTGTGAATAGGTTTTGTTGGAGTTCTTGTGTTTTGTAGCATCGGGCACTGTGATTCATTCGATTTCCGTTGTTCACTAAAACATCTGCCGATTGTGCTTTCCGTTTTATTTTCACTGCACTGAAAATAGTGTAAAAAAATCTTTTCAAGTTTTGTATAATACAAACAAATTTGATAAGGTATTAAGATTATTTTATTACGTCATAAACACAGAACATTATAAAATATTTTATTCTCCCAATTGTTTACTGTATGGTTATGGAAATACAAATAAAACTACAAGATTAAGTACATTTTACAACCAGTACTCAATTAGTAATACTATTAATAAAAGTGATGTTTTGACTCAATTCGCAAAATGATACTGATAAATAAATAAGTCTGACTTGTGAATTGCAACTCTAAGTTTCACATAAATCTCGAAATTAGTTATGCATTTTAAAAACCCAAAACGAAATTCAAAAGAATAATATCTTGCCTGATACCTGTATTACTTACCATGGTATTTGTACTAGCTGTTGAACCTCTCGTAGGAGGAGCTGGGTCTTGACTGCCTAAAAGCTTTGCTTCTGTTGCTCCACCATTTTTGACATTAATTTCCAAATAACAATGTGTTTCCAAATGAGACTGCGCACGTTTTTCATCTTTAACAATCTTTCTAGCTGCATTAAATATCTTGTAATATACTACTACCATTACAGTTAACGGTATGTAAAATGAGCCAAAGGTTGCATAGATTTGATATCCTTGATTTTGCGATACTGAACAACTTGTTTCTGTCTTCTCGTTACCTAATATCAAGACGGGGGGCAGCGATATAAATGCTGCACTCATCCAGACTATGAAAACACAAAATAACATTCTTTTTGGAGTTCTTTTAACCCCATATTCAAGTGGTTTTGTTATGGCATAGTAACGATCCACGGAGATCATACATAGATTCAGGATACTGGCAGCACAAGATAAGACGTCACTGGATACCCAAAAATCACAAACTACTGGTCCAAATGGCCACGTTCCTAGCAAATCATATATCATAGCTACAGGCATAACCATTGTAGCTACACAAAGGTCACTTACTGCAAGGGACACTATCAAGTAGTTGCTGGGCCTTCTTAATTTTCGCACTAAGCACACGGCAATGCAAACTAAAATATTTCCTACTATTGTCCCAAATATAACAACCATAAAAATTACTGCTAGAAGAATGGTCACTAATGTTGAATAGTTTGAATGTTTTATATGAGAATGTTTAACAACTATTGATGCATTTTCAAATAACGTCCAGTTTAGTGTCGAGTTTACGTTAGAGATATTTAATTCAGGAAAATAGACTTCGTTTAAATTGAATGATGCTAATGTTAGATCTACTTGTAATACCAAATGTATTAATATGAGAAGACACGAAGATAAAGTAACAAAGCTAGGCTGTGAACAATGGAATTTCTGATTTTTTGCCGCCATACGAGTCCCTGGCTGGGTTACTGTTCACTCGGTTCGTGGTGTTGTATTTACCATACATTGATTTTAATGTTTAACGTTTTACAACTCAATATTCGAAATCTTATTATTTGAGATAAATGATCACAGGAGTTATTAACTCAAGTTTGAAAAATCCTTTTGTCAGGTAGCATTCTTGACTTACAAAGCCGCCATTGACAATAATAAAGTAGTAGTTTCCAGGTATAATTTTCTCCTTTCTGTATTTGGAATGAAGCCATTGGGGTATAATTTTAAAAATCTTGATGCTTCGCATAAATTATATCAAAAGTAATCCTTCTTCAAAGAAATAACTTCTTAGCTAATTCCATGAAGACCGCTGATTGTTCTCGCTCATAAATTATCTGGAAAGAAAAAATATTAATGAATTTTGTGTAGTAGGTTGTAATCGCATTTCAAGACATAAAGTATTTGTTTAATATCTCATCAAAATAAATATTGTCATTATCATTGCAGCCTATGATATTACGGCTGAACATAGATATTTCACATATATTGATCCACAGGAGGGATTTTAATGATATTTCATTGTTTTCAGTTATTATCATGGAGATGCTGCAGCTATCATTAAATACTTTGAAGGATAGCTAGCTTTAAATTAATTATGTTTTTAAGCAATAACCAAAAACATCAGTTTTATATTGATTCTGGTAAATTCCTATGGCAGTGATAGATTCTGATTATTAACTATTTTATTTTATAATATATATCATTTTTATAAACGGACTATATACGCTGAAAAGGAATTGACTCAACAGATTGATTATAATTTGATAATTGAAACACGTTACTGGCCAGTTATAAAAAGTGTGCTGTGTTAAAAAGTGTTAAAAAGTACGTTTCGATTTTTTTTTTCGAATTTTAGCTTGAGGCTGGTTATTAAAGCAGACAGATTTTAACAACTTTTTTGGCGCGAAATCTAGAAAATTAATATCGACTATAAGTAACTTTTATTGAATAATTTCATATCCTTGACATTTAAAGTATTGTTATTGCTATTAAGCGGTCGTGAAAATTGTAGGTCAAGTGATAAAAGCCAGTCAAATTATTGCACTGCTCGATAAGAGTTCAGCAATGCTTTGTGACGAGAGAAGAGAAGAGTTCTGGAAGCAAACTATGTACTGAACCACGGAATAATCGTTTTCTGGTGAGTCAAGCGTCGACACATTGAAAATCTTCGTATGTTAACCTCAAAAAAATCCTTGAAGAAATCGGCTTTTCCTTGCCAATATAGGCAGTCATCGCCTAGCCACGGCGTTATATTACTCCGTGAGCACCGAGTAACCAGGCTTAGCTTTGCTCTAAACTGTATGTCATTGGCTCAGGAAGATTTTGAGAGTATATAAAGGCTCTAGATTCTCGGATGAGGTTAAGATATCTCCGTACGGTGAACCGTACGGAGATATCTTAACCTTTGCACTCGTTGACGTCGGTCTTCAGACCGACGTCAACGAGTGCAATGAAACGAAATGAAAAATAAGGACTTTGTAAAAGGTATGTATTGAAGAACCTATCTTGTGGCAGAGACTTTATTATGTTTTTTGGGCAGTAATAATTGTTTTTGATCATAAGGAGTTAGTATTTATCGAAAATGACACACTAATTTATACTTATTAGTGTCCTAATACATAACGGAATTTCTAGTTCCTCACGCATAAACCTTATTGACCGCTCTTAGCAAAAACTTAATTTTTATGGTCAGCAACGTACGCGCCCTTATCAGTCTGGTGACGTGTTCCGTCGTTTCGATTGACCAGCTCACAAAAACAGAGGGTAGATCACTTCTATAACATACCTTTACCTGCTTTAATTTCAATAAAGAAAATACAAACAAAAAACGTGTTTCATCTTTACTTAGCGAGCAGATACACTACCAGCACTCTGGACGTTAACATTACTTCTTATTAATTAAATCAAAATGTTTTGATAAAACTGTTAAAAACTGTTCATTGCAAATTAATTTACAAAATTCTTAAGCTCAGCTTTAGTGCCGAAACTGGTTTCACGCGTCTAGGAATTCGCAATCCGAATTCTATAAGCGTGGAACAGATGCGGCTGGTCCATCAAGTACAAACACAGGCCCCACAGGCCGTCTTAGCGATATAAGACGGCATGTGGGGTGCAGCCGAGAATGAGGTCAAAATTTTCGGGTTTCAATTATAAGCTAGGTTTAATTCTGGTAACGCGCCTGAATAATGCAACAAGTCATTACTGGATTGTGGGTGAATTTGGAAAACTGAAACCCTGACCGAAGGCAAAGCTTTGGATAATAACCAAGGGCGAACTACCTAAGCCTCAACTGGACATCACATATCTGCTCCGCAGCGAAGCTGACTTTCACATTGAGCTTTGAGCTGTTTCAGAGTACTGCAACTATGAGCTGGCCTACAGCATTCATAAATCTCAAGGAATGCTCAGCGGCAAGAGTAAAGATTTGCTCCGCCTGTCTTCTTGGAGAGAACCTAGATTCTTCTACCAAGTTATAGATAGTGTCAGAGTTCACATAAAAATACAACGCCGAACTTGTGGTGATGCTAATACTCACGACACTGACTGAAAAGCAGCAAAGTGGGTCTCATTCTTACCTAAGCCTCATTGTCTGGGGAAACAAGGCCAACCAAAACACAGTTACCTCTGGAGGTCGCAAGAAGTGGACGTGTTGCTAGATATTTTACAAATACAAGTCACAATTGTTTACTGACTTTAAATCTAACGTAAACGTAACTGTATCAGTTATTGATTGTACTGCGCGAGTGATTTATAGCTTGTATTCCTACGCAGCACCACTTTGGGTAAAAAAACAGACTCTTATGTTCTGTCTTGCTTACGTACCTACCGCAACACGCTACGCTCAACTATCGTGAGTACACCAAAGATTAACATGAATGTACACCGATCCCCTAATGGAAGTGACACTATTTTGGCACGATGTGGTTCTTACCCGAAATTAGTACTGAGCCGCAGTAGTTCAGGGGCTCTTTACAGAATTGGGGTGACGAACGAACATGATGGTAGCTAGATCCTGCAGCAATGACACAGACAATGCAGATGCGTTGTCTCACCCCTAAGATGGAAGATGGAATGCTTCGTTCCCAGTAAAATAGTTATCCCGTTCTCGACACTAATAATATTTAATTAGAAACGCAACAGCATGATCCTTCTCCGGACGAATCGACCCATATTGCAGCATGGCTATACCCTGTAAAATCTTGATTTTAATATGGCCTTAAATTTCAAAATACGTCGTAGGCGACCGCGAAAAGAATTATATTCCTTCTAAAAGATTATATAAAATGCAAAATTTAGACTTGGCAGTATAAAACATTTTGTAATTTTTAATAGTTATATCGAGTTACTACGGCGTTAATGTTTTGTGGCTTGGTGTAAATAGCTTCTATCAAATTTTGTTGTATTTATTTGTTGTCGTATTATATCTAATATTAATGTTATAATAACGTTGACGATCAAATTATTTCTGATCAGTTCAATTCACTGGCTCTCTGAAGAAATGTTGTATCCCTTTGCATTTTTATCGCCTTTACGATTAGGATTCAGAGTGTTCAGAATTGTTCGGGTAAATTCCAGCCGCCAAATCCCACCAACGCACATCGCAACAAATATCATGATATCGTACATATCAACAGGGTGGTTGGAAGTCCACCACTGTGTGATTTACTTGGAGTTTTTTTTCTCGTACTACTTCTTTGCGGAGTCGAAAGTGATTTTTTTTAGACCAATACCATATAAGGGGCTTCAATAAAGGTACTTACTCTTTTTGTAAAGACCGGCAACTTGCCTTAATTCCGCTGGTGTTGTAGTTGTTCACGTGAGGTGGTCGACATTTACCATTGAATAAACCGCATGCTCGTTTGCGCTCGTAGATATAAAATCCTATAAATTGACAAGCAATATCGGTCATTGGATTGTATGGAGTAAGTAATTTATTCATACCCGTATGTACCCCTATGTACGCATTTACATACAATAAATAACCAGAAAATAGACAGGATTTACCAATCACAAAATTTAAATTTTTATTTAAGCAAACATTGTTAAGTAGTGTATATACTATGCTACAAAGAAGTTCATGATAGACTTGGAATTGACGATAAAGTGATTGCTATCAAGCCGTTTTTAAATGTTTTCAGATTTTTTGTTTGTTCTTCCCAGAACCAAAATTTTTTTTCGAATCGGTA